GCCCATCCATCCACCCACCCATCTGTCCATCCATAGATACATACACACATTTAACTAACATTTACTGAGGGCCGACGATGTGCCAGGCAGTGCAAATAGAGCAATAAGTGATGAAACTCGGTATGGTCAGCCTTGCTTCGTCACGCACCAGCGATGTGCCATTGCACAAGTATTTAAGCTCTCTAGGCCTCGGTTTCCCCAACTATAAAATGGCGATAATAATGGTACCTACCTCAGATGCCGTTGGGAGAATCAGGTGAGTTAATCTACGTAAAGGGCCAGTGCTCGCCCTGAGTCAGCTCCTCCGCCTGCTGAGAGCTCCCCCTGTCCCGTGACCGTGCCTACCGCCCTCTTCTACCCATTTTATCATAGGGGAGACTGAGGCACAATGATGGAAAATCACTTATAGAAGGCCCGGGAGCCAGGAAAGTGTGGAGCAGGGATGTGAACCTGGGTCTCGTGGTCTTTCTTAACCACTGTGACCTACTGCCTCTGGAAGCTTTCCAGGCTGGGGAGGATTGGGCGCATGGAGGCAGCGGGAAAGGAAGAGGGAACAGCCATAGCCAAGGCAGGGAGGTGGGCAGGAAACGCAGTGGGGGGTTTATTTAGGTTATAGGAGGAGAGAGGTATGGGGAGCGAGGAGGGAGAGATGGGGCCTTGGGGAAACTGAGGGGCTGGGACTTTATTCTGAGGAACGGGTGCACACACACACACACACACAGGTCCCGTGACCAGTATCTGGTCCTGCCCAGTGTGGCCCCATCAGCTCTCACTGTCCCCACATGCCACCTTTCCCGACCTTGACTCCTGCAGCTGAGAGGTTCATGGAGTTCAATCAGGGGTGGGGGAGAAGGGAGGCTCCCCACCTCCTGGAGGAAGTCCCTGATTTTGTTTGTATCCGAGAGACACAGAGAGAAACCGAGAGACAGTCTTCAGAGAGAAAGACTGAGATCAGGAGAGAGACAGATGGAGACAGGCTGGGAGAGACACAGAGAAAGAGAAAGAGAAAGAGATCAAATTAGAGTCGGAGACACAGAGAGAGACAGAGACAGACAGACTGATGGACAGACCCTTCGCAGCCCCCAGCACACGCCCCGCCCTATCCATTACCCACCCCACCCCCCCTTGGCCTGGTAGAGAAATCGAGGCTCAGAGAGGCGCCATACCTGCCCGGCCGCCCAGCAGAGCCAGGGTCCCCACCCCGCCTTACCTGGTCGCGAGGTCCCTTCTTCTCCAGAAAGCTCTCATGGTAGTGTGAGGGCAGGGCACCCTTGGGCTTGGGCCTGGGGAGCCGGGGTGGGCTCAGGGCCGAGGCCATGGTGGCCCGGGTCTTCTGCCCGGCCTCTCCCTCCCGTGGGAGCCCCAGCTGGGCCAGGAAGCTGAGAAACAGGTTCCAGGGGAATTTCCTCCCTTCTGTCAGCTCCCGGGCTGCCTCCTCTGCCAGCGCTGGGCGGGGGCTGGGCTGGGCAGGTCCAGCGATCCCAGGGGAATCCCGGCCTCTCTGGTCTCCGGCTGGGAGGGACTTGACATCTTTACTATGTGGAGTCTTATCCATGGACATGGTCTGCCTCTTTGTTTATTTAAATCTGATTTCTTTCATCACTGTTGTGTAGTTTTCAGTACACAACTCCTGTACCTATTTTGTCAGCTTTGCATCTAAGCATTTTTTAAAGCGTTTTTAATTTAATGTAACGTATTTTTCATTCTGGTTTCACACATTCCTTGCTAGTATACGGACGTGCAATTGATTTTGGTGTGCTGATCTTGTATCCGACCACCATGCTGAATTAACTCATTAATTAGTTCTGGGGGTGTTTTTTTGTAGATTTCTTGGGATTTTTCTAAGTAGGCTGTCGTGTCAAATGCAAAGAGGCCTGGTTTTATTTCTTCCTTTCAATCTGTCGGCCTTTTATTTCCTTTTCTTGCCTTATTGTGCTGGCTAGGACTTCCAGCACTGTGTTGAATGAGAGTGGTGAGAGTGGGCATCTTTGCTTTGTTCCCAGTCTTAAAGGGAAAGTGTCAATCTTTCACATTAATCACCATCACAACTGAAGCTTTTGTAGATGCTCTTAACCAACTCCAGATAGTTTCCCTCTGTTCCTAGACGGCTGAGAGGTTTTATTGTGAGGGAGTGTTGAATTTTGTCAAATGCTTTTTCTGCATCAATGATACAATTGTGTGACATTTTTTCTTCAGCTTGTGTGTGAGTTTTCTACAGCTGCCGTAACAAATTGTCACAAATTTAGAGGCTTAAAAGAATGCAAATGTATTATCTCACGGCTCTGTAGGTTAGAAGCCCTACACGGATCTCACGGAGCTAAAATCAAGGTGTTGGCAGGGCTGTGTTCCTTTCTGGAGGCTCAAAGGATGAATCTATTCCCTTGACTTTTCCAGCTTCTAGAAGCTTCCCGCATTCCTTGGCTCACGGTCTCCTTTCTCCATCTACAAAGCCAGCGACAGCGGGTGGAATCCTCACCTCATATCACTCTGAACTTCTCGTTTCCACGTTTAAGGACCCTCGTGGTTACATTGGGACCACCCAGATAATTCAGGATAATCTCTCTATTTTAAAGTCAGCTGACTGGCAACTTTAATTCCAACTGCAACCTTCAATCCCCTTTGCCACGTAAACCTAACATAGTCACAGGTCCTGGGGATTACGACCTGGCCACCTTTAGGGACCATTATTCTGCCTACCACAGCCTGTTGAATATGGGTAGATAACATTGATTGCTTTTGGAATACTGAACCAGCTGTGCATCCCCAGAATAAACTCCATTTGGTCATGGTGTATAATTCTTTTTATATATTGCCAAATCCTATTTCCTAATATTGTGTTAAGGATTTTCACGTCTTTATTCACGAGGGATAGGGTCTGTAGTTTGCTTTCTTTGTACCGTGCTTATCTGGTTTTGGTATCAGGGTAACGCTAGCTTCATAAAATGAATTGAGAAGCGTTCCCTCCTCTTCAATTTTCCAGATTACATACAAGTGGTGTTAATTCTTTGGCTCTTCGGTAGAATTCTCCATCAGGGCTGGACATTTCTTTTTCCAGAGTTTTTAAGTTACAAATTCAATTTCCTTAATAGAAATAGGGCTGCCTGGACTTTATACACACAGCCAAGAATAGCCTTTGGAATCCACTCCAGAGCTGTGTGACTCTGGGCAATTCTGCATCTACTGAACGATCTAATAAACTCGATAACAGCATCTGCCATATAGGCGTGCCGTAAATGGTAAATGGTTAATAAAGTCACAGAGGTTAGTTTTAATTTATCAAAGGCAATCGGGAGCCATAGAGGGATTTAGAGCGGAGGTGGGAGCTGATAACAGTTGCATTTTAGAAAGATCCCTCTGCAGCGGGAGGGGAAGCTGGATGGGGTCGGGGGTCAGTATGGAGGCCTGAAGCCCAAGAGGAGATGGCCAGGGTCCAGGCGGGAGAGGCTGGAGGTCCACCCCAGGATTTTGGAAGAGAGTCGAAGAGAAAGTGAGCTAGGACATGGGGGCATAAACAGAGGCCCGTTTGGGCCCTGCTGAGTCTAGGGGGCTGGGGTATCCCCAGTTGGTGGCTGGCCCCGCGGTGGGGGTGGGGGGGACTCCAAAAGGAGGCCTGGTCAGGGCAAAAAGAGCGTAATAATAATTCACATCGATCCAGCTCTTGCTCTATGTCAAGGCTCCCAGCAGCTTGGGGGAGCCCCCACCCTGCGCCTGCAGCCCTGCCGGGAACCGGGGGCGAGGTCCCGGGACAGAGGCCGGGGACAAAGGACACGGACGCGGCCAGCCCGCGCGCATCCCGTCAGGCTCCGCCCACAGGCACTGTGCGCGCGGGGGGGCGGACCCGCGGGGCTGGTTTTGACCCGGGAGCTGATTGGCTGGCTGAGGACCAGACCCTGCAAGTGATTGGATGCGTGAGTTTCAGGGGCCCCTGTTGATTGGCCCCCATGGGGGTGCGGTCCCAGTTCACCGGAAGCAGCATTTTAACATTGATTGGCTGGAGGGAATCCAGCGGCTGCTGCCTATTGGCTGAAGATGAAATGGCCCTCCTATAATTGGTTGGCGGGCTCCGCTCTGGTCCAATTCTAGAATCAGCCGGGGGGGGGGGGGGGTGGGCGGCTGTAAGTTAACCCTTTCAAGACTGCACCCGTCTTGGGCGCTTTGGACCCGCGGGTGCGGCTGCTGCCCCCTTCTGGCCCCAGGGCGCTGTGGCTCGTTCTCCCGGGCCTCAGTTTCTCCTCTGGTCCCAACGGCCGAGGCCTCTGCGTCCCTCAAGAGGGGTGGCCGCGGACCTCAGTTTCCCCGCCCGTCCTAGCGGGCTGAGCCCCCCGCGCCCCCCAGCCCCAGGGGTGGTGCGCTCGGGTGGAGCCACTAGTCCCCCAAAGCGGAAGTCCCGGGCCTCAGTTTCCCCATTTGTGCCCACGGGCTCTCGGTAACCACGCCCTTCCCACGGAGGGTGGCCGCAGGCCTCAGTTTCCCGGATGGTCCCGAGGGCTGAGTCCCCCGACCCCCTGTCCCCAGTGCGCAGGCCCAGGGCCTCAGTTTCCCCGCGCGCCCCGCG